GGGCAGCATCCGCGGGCAGCGGAGGCGGCTGGGCTCGGCCAGCCCCGGTGACGGCTTGCGTGGCCGGAGAGCCGCGGGGACCGGCGCGGGCGGCGGAGAAGCCCCTCTCCCAAAGCGCTGCTCCCGCCGCCGGGCTCAGCCGCGAACATCCGCCATCCTCCGCGGGGAGAGCGCTTGTTTGGGATTTTTTTTGTGTGTATCGGTTCTGGGGCGTTGGTTTGGTTGTTTTTTCCCTGCCCCGCGGCTCGGACCGCGGTGTTCCCGGCAGCGCAAGGCCAGCGCTCCCCCGCCTCTCTCCGCCGCCAGGCACGCGGTGCGCCCAGACGGATGTTCCTGGCACATGCCTCCCGTCGGCCTGGCAGCAGATCTGAAGGGGTTGTGCACTGCCTTCGCCGTGGCCTTGTGCCTCGTGTTTGAACACAGCGATCTRTCAGGTCGAGACTGAGGGCAGCGCCCATGGGGCGATAAGGGCGACCGCCACGGACGGGACGTGCCCGCGCCGGTGCCGGCTTCGRGATTTGCATTTCAAGCTGCAGGGGCAGACGGAAGACAATCGACGGGCTTCACTCTGMAATTGCTCTTGAAACCTGTAGTTTCCTTTGGGCCCTCAAAGTGACAGATGCCATATGCTCACTTGCATTGAATAAATGAGACGCGTGCGACAGAGAGGGCAGAGCCCGCTGTCGCCGTGCCTGGCTGCCGGCGTGGCRCAGCCACCATGTGCCGCTGGCTGTGTGACACCAGCCTCACGCAGCGTGTGCCAGCAATTAGGGCTGCTCTCAGCGGAYGTAACTCGGGAGGGGTTTGTGCCCTACTTCATATTGTTGTCAGGCCATCCAGGCCACTCTGTATCGTTGTCCTGCTTTCAGAGAAAGGTGTGGCTCTCAGTTTTTCAAGAATTATATCCTGAGGTACCCTGACTTGTGGAGTTTGGAAGAACTTTGGACAAGTTTCTGTCTTTTCTAACAGCAAAAARCTWACTATGGCACAYYGCTTCTTTGAGACTTAGGTCTGCACAAATGTGCGCTGGTGTAATCAAAACGCCAAAAGTTACTGTGTTGACTTCCTTTATTTGTCAAATTAGAAATAGTTTATTGTTGTTCAATTTAAATGAATTCTTAGTAAATTTTAGATATACTGAAGTAGTCCTGGTTGGAATGAACATAGAAGCATGCATGTGGATTCTTGCACCACTCTTAWTTACACTGATTTTAAAAAAGAAAACAAACCTACTTCACATGCTTTCTGTTTAATGTAGGCAATATGTAAGGTATCATGATCCATTTCAAACTACAGATGGAGTTATCACAGCTTCATGGCTTGAACCAAAGAAGAACTGTCTTCTGAGAATTATCACTCCTGAATAGCTATTCTGCAGTTCTGCCACAGGAAAGTAATTATTGCACACTTGACAGGACAGGCTCATTCTTGATTGAAGYGAAAGTTCACTTGATTTTTCTTTTCCTTTCTCCAGAAGTTTAAAAGGTGGTTGATCCAAGGAAATGCCAATTTTCTGTACTCATCAGTGCAAAGGAGGATTTTTCACTTGTGAATAATAATTTTTCTTTAATAAAAGCTTTTGTGTTACAGTGTTTCCCTTTATCTGCCACTCTTCCAATGTCCCTTTTCAGAAAGATATCCTCGCTACCCATTATCTGTGTATTACTCTAGACTTATGGACTTGTTATGGAAAACTTACACACATTATCATTTATTTTCATGCCTGAGGCTCTTTCTGGGCATCTTTCCAGAATCTCTGTAAGTGCTTTCAGGAGAACTGTACCATTTTGTTGTCTGTCATTGCTACAGGATTTATCTTTAACTGTTTGTCAAAAGCTTAAACTGTCCCTGGGCGTAAATGTGGCTTTTCAAGGTAGGCTTTGCTCGTGGCATTATCCAGGTCTGCAGTTTGTCCTGGTAAGGGGAACAGTGCATTTCTCCCTGTCACACACAATTGTTATGTATCATCACTCACTTTGTTTTATAACTCCCAAAAGTGTGCCAAGTGATTTAGAGAAAAATTAGAAAGCCATGGTCCGTGCTTGGCCTAAAGTATGAACCTGCTACAAAATATCAAACAGAATAAGTGTCGCTGGCTTTGGAACAAGAGTCTGACTTCTGGGGCTGCCCTGGCATTTGATAGAAGGTAAACAAGCAGGTGAAAATAAAAATGGTGCCTTTTCTGCCTCAACAAGCTATAAAGAATATGTTCTTTGTCTGCTATGAATTCCCACTCTCTTCATTTGTATTGGTAACATAGATTTGAATTATTATTTAGACCTGTCTACAAAACAGAAAAATTGGAAATGTTGATCTTATTTGCTTTGTAAAATGATTGATTAAGCTGCATTAAATGATGTGTGGAKGTTCTTATTCAGCTTTTTAGTAGCCTTGTTTCAAATTAACCAAACCCTCTTTGAAAGTGAAATGGATATTTAAGCCTATTGATTGTTGCAGTTAATATGAAGTAACTTGTTGCAGAAAATTCTCCACCTCAAAGAAAGAGGATCCTCTTCACAGTTGGATTATTAAGACCTTTATGTCTTTTAATTTGGGGAAATTTTCTTCTATGTCTAGGAAAATTAACTGTGTCTTGTGTTTCTTTTTGAAAGCAATCTAAAGTTTTCTAAAGGCAAACTCTATTTGTGTTGCAGGGTAAGACAAGGAATTGCCTGAATGGTGGAACAATCAAATATTCCATGCATTGCTCTGCTGCCTGAGGCTGAACTCTCTTGTTTATTTTTTTTTCCTTTTCATTCTGAAGACAAATGACTGCTTCCTAGAGATACACTCAAGCACTTTGTTCTCTGTGATTTGTTGATTTGACTTTCTGAATCTGTAATTGGTCACAGAAGCCAAAACATTTCAGGAGCACAAATGAAATTTCAGCACAGAAGATCCTTTTCGCAAGATCTCTTGAATTTCAGGTATTCCACAGAAGATTTTGTACCTCTTATATGTTTGTTGTGTCAGCGCACAATTCTACAAGACCAAGGGGCACTTGGGGCTAAAATTCAGTGTCTCCAAATAGTGTTGCTACTTTCAGCTGTCTTAGTTTGAGTTGACTGTTTTCACAGTGCACACCATGGCAGGGGCTGGAGTTTGGGCTTTTATACCTCTTTTATATTATACAATTTGGTTTGTTTTTTTTTTTTTTTTTTTTTTTTTTTTTTTTTTTTTTTTTTTTTTTTTTTTTTTTCCCATTTTTTTTTTTTTTTTTTTTTT